AACAGGCCTTTAGAGGGAGATGGGAGACAGATGTCAAAAGCCCACGGGAAGGAGGTGATGGTGGTGCTGGGCCAGGGGCTAGATGACTTCCACATTTCACGTATTTCTAGCTGATGTGGGAATGGAGGGGAGAAACAGGAAAACGAAACTGGGGAGAGAAAAGAGGGCTTGCGACCACTTCAGAGTCAACTTAAAGAGTGTGACTCTGTGCCCCAGCAAGCATCCATCTGTTTTAAATATGGCTCTGCAACTGACTAGCGCCACAACTGTGGGACCTTGGACAAATCACTTACTCTCTCTGAATCTTATTGTCCCCCTTTGTAAATTCGGTAGAAAAACTACCTACCTATTCCTCATGGTGTTGCTAGGAGGACATCTGAGGGGGCATGTGTCCCTTTCCCTGGGTGCTGACAAGGCTGTGCCTTGGCACCATGGTGCTCATGTGAGGAAGCAGCTCAGTCTGGAGCAGTGTTTCCAGCCATGTGCCCTGAAGTTTAAGGCCATGAGGATGGACAAAGGAATGGAAGGCCTTTCAAATCACTCCTCCCCTGCACCAGCCAACTTTTTCTGTTAGGAATGGAAGTTCTATGGAGGATTTCAAATCTGAAAACGAGTTAGAGGGAGCGATGTGGGACCACGTATGGCTTGGTAGTGAGAGGAGGACAGAGCACAGAACACTAACTTTCTGTTACATGCCATGAGCCTGACCCTTCCCGCATGTCATCTCGTTTCACCCTCACAATGGCCCCTGGCAAACATTATCCTCAATTTGCAGATGAGGACATGTGACTTTGGAACGAATAAGGAACTGGCCCAAGGTTACATAGCTAGAAAGTGGCAGAGTTGGGACAGCACATCCAGGTGTGATCTGCAGTTCCTATGGCTTTCAATCCTGTTTGACAATCACTTCTTGACCATCAACTAGGAGGCACTGGGCTGGGCTCTGGGCAATTTAACTATGCATGAGAACTCTGCTGAGGGAGGCAGACATGCAAACAGGCTGTTTAATGCTGAGTAACAGGGAAGAAAGTACTATCGATACTCTGGGAACCCAGACCAGGCCATCAGAGGTGCTTTCCACAGAGGAGGCAGTATCTCCCTGGGCACTGGAGGGTGACTGGGATCGTCCTGGACAGAGACTAGCACTTTCTAGGCAGGAGGAGGAGCAAGTGCAAAGACTGGGAAATGGGCACACACAATCTTTAGGGAATGCAAACATTCATAGGGAGAGCTGGAGCCCCAATTTCTTTTAGGAGAGTGGTAGGGAGTGGTGAGCAGGAAGGCCAGAGGGGAGAGACTGAGAAAGAAAGCTGGCAAGCTAAGCAAGGACTGGATCCTTAAGAGCCCTGCAGGCCATGCTCAAGTCTGGGTTTGATCCCAAGGGCAATGTTCGGCCACTGAAGGCTTTTTAAGTAGTAGTAGTAGTACAGTGGAGAGAGAAGTGGATGGTCTGAGCTATTTGGGAGGTAGTGTGGCTGGGATTTGGTGGCAGGTGGGGAGAGAATGAGAGGAGTTACAAGAACAACACTGACAACCACTGGTGCTGCTGCAGCAGCTTCCCTGACCACACGTTTTGTCGAACCTTTCTGTGCATCACTCCATTTCATTCTCGCAACCATCTGAGTTAGGTTCTATTGTTATTCTCATTTTGTGGATGAAGAAACTGAGGCTTAGAGATGAAGTGATTTGCCCAAGGTCATCCAGCAAGTGTGGCAGAGCCAGGTTCCAAACTGAGGTCCGATTCCAAGGCCCGCTGCTCTCAATCACCATGATGCGTTCCTCCCAGAATGGCATCCTGGGTTCTGGTTCAGGCAACTGGGTAGATGGTGGTGGTGCCATTAACTAGACAGACAACGAAGAAGTAAAAGCAGGCCTCTTTGGAGAAAGATAACAAGCTCAGTTTTGGATGTGCTCAGTTTGAGTACTGGTATGACATTTGTGAGGAGGTGCCCAGTAGCAGCAGATATCAGTGTGAAGGGCAGGGAGGAAACAGGTGGACATAACGAACCAG